TGAGGGAGGGGGAGAGCGAGAAGATATTGCGACTTAAACGGTTGGAAAATTGTCCAAACGGCCGTGCCGCATAATTTCGACGTGACTTAACGGCACTTAACTTAACGTCACATTAAAGCCGCTCCATCGACGCCTCGCGCTAGATATAGTCTCGGTACGCTCGGTATATCACTGGTCACCGCGCTCGGTATTCTATTCCCGTCCCTTGCTCTTCCCCGATGTCAAAGGATTTTACGTGGAAGTGACATGGTTGCCTACGTCGTTGTCCGTTATGATCGTTTCCTGGTAACGAATTAATTTGCACACAGCGTTAGAATATGCAGATCACTGTTTGGCGTAATAAATGGACGGGGTTAGCGCGGCTCCACGGGGTTAGGAGTTGATCTCGTGAACGCGACAGAATGACACCAAAATTGCTATTAATATTCATGCGCAGCTGGGATGTGGAAAAGTGTTGGAAGGATAACCATGCGACGGCGCCTCCGCTAGACAAATTGGAATTCGTTTCTAAGCTTTGGAGCAATTTGGTTTATTTGTAAATTATATCGACGCGCCGATCTAAAACTCTCGATGAGAAACGTTACCCTCGCACAGATCGAACGTGAAGGTAGAATAGCCAAAAATAAATTTTTCACGCAACTGAAATATCGAAATTCGTTTTTTACATGGCGGTTACTGCTGTATGTAGCTAACCCTTTATTCCGAACGTGGTGGGGTATAGAAAATCGATTGCTCCTTTTTTTCGGCGCTGATTGATTCCGCTGATCTCGCCGGTGCTGATCCTATAATTTGATCGGAGAACCCTTTTATGACTGTATGTGTGTGTGTGTAACCGAGTGACGTGAGCGCGATTGTTACTTTGATACGAGATTGCCACGTTTTACTGTCCCACGCGTAAATACGGATTATATACATTTCAGTTAAACGAAAAGTAATTCCTTTCTTATCTCGTGAAAATGTATCACATTGCACGCGTCATACGTTCATGATTTTATAGTGTTTGACGACGGAATCATTATCCAAGGATGACAATTTCGCGCTAATCTCAAACATTTGTCTAACTAATAATAACGTTTTTTTAATGATAATAATAGTTGCACATTGATAACACAATTTTGCTTTTTTACATCATGTTCTTATCATTGGAAGCAAATTTTCCGGCGCGGCGTCCGTTTTATCGAGGGTGTTTGCTATTTATTGGAAAATAATCTCATTAATTCAAAAGAGTTGAGATCTCTCATAGCCATCTGCTAAAATCGACAGTACGGCACACTAAACGGTTTTGGAAACGCAGAAGCAAAAATGCAAATCAGTTCTTTTTGCTTGTCGCTTCAAGAACGAACACACACCACGCATGGCACGCTACGCCACGCCGCGCTACGCCGCCGTTCTAATGAAAATTAGCGATAATTGGCCGGAAAATGAACATTTGTGGTGGATTAAAAGGGGAGCCCGCGAAACACAGACAGCACACCGGCCCCGCGCTCCTCGCGTTTCTGCGGTGTCATAAAACCGGTTCGCGGTCTGTAATTTGTAATGAATACGGCTCTAACTAGCACACCCTCCGCCATCCCCGGTTCCGCCATCGATGCATCGTCGGTGACGAATTGGGTTCGCACGACTCTGGCGCGCTTGTGGTTGTACATATATACAAGGTGGACCATTAAACGGGGTAGCAAAATATAAAAATATAATCTTTTGCGATCGAGATGGTATAAATATTTTAAAAGAAAAATTTCTGTGTATCCAAAATAATATTATCACAACTTCTTTGTGTTTCTTACATTCTTTATTCACTAAATATCTTAGCACGTATAGATCGTAATTATTTTATATTAAAAAATTTTGAAAGAAATCAAAGTAAATCAATACAGCTAGAAAAATAAATTGAAATGAATATTAGGATTTCAAATGTGCCTATTCCATGGTGATGACTTTTTTTAGGGAGTTTTACATGAAGCTTATAAACTGAAATATTCTCGCACACTTTTGAGAGCATTCCCTGATTACATGCGGTTCACCCTGTGAATGGACACCCGTGAATATACAAAGGTGTATACGCACCATCCTCTCACTCATATACCGTACCTAAATCATGCGACAGAACGGTCCATGATGCCTATTCATCGCGTACTCGAGTAGGTCCGAGCACGATCCTGACCCAGTAATTGGATTATTATTTCACCAACGATAAGTGCAGTAATGAAGTCTGTTTTGGGAAATCGGTTCAGACAACTATGATTTTAATTTGACTCGAACAATCTCTTATATTCAGATAACATAGGAGTTTTATTAAAATTTTGTTAAAACTAATTGTCTGATTAGAAAGTTGTAGTTTGTAATTCTTGCAGCGTTTAGTTGAACGCAAGAAAGACTAATTGTAAGTGGTATTAATTTTCACAACAAATAATGAACAATGAAATTCTTGTTTTAAAAAAACAAATAAAAGTGTGTAAGTGTCCAGTTAATAATTTTGAAATCTCATGATTTGTAAACATGCATATACATACGTGCAGAACAAGTTTCCTATTTGCTTCACTAAATTATACGATGATCTTAACGATGATATATTCATCGGACACTCAAATCACCTCTTATACGCGATCCTAATCTCGAAATTGCATTATTATTATCCTCTCCGAAATACGACGACACTCGATAGTCGCGGTATCGTGTGACGCGTCGCATCTTTTTCCATTAGTCGTGATAGGAGACGGAGATAAGGTTTCGCTCTTCCTGGTGAACACCACGAACACGGTGTGCGCCTGGCTCGTGCGAGAAAACTGAGATTTTCCGTGTATCACATGTGCAAGGAGACCGTCGACGAACATAATTGGCGGAGATGTTATTTTAGGTGCGCTGCTATTCCTCATGTACCTCGTATTGTTGGGGTTCACCTTAGGTATATTATCGATGGAAGAATATTTTTCCATTTTATATCTGAAAAAGTAAAAATTTTGTTTCTTTTGTCTCACTCGCAATTTACATTATGTTACTTTGTATTATGTTATGTTACTTGATATTTACGTATTAAACATTTATCAAAAAAGATAACAATGCAAAATCAATGAAAAATCACAGACCACATTTTTTAGTCAGAGAAGATTATCGAGTACTTTTCCGAAATCCCAACCAAGTCCATCCGAAGGCAGTGCCAACATCTTTTCATCCCCTTCCGCTCCACGTTACGACAGCAGTATAAGTCGGACACAGTCGGTCCCCTTCTCCCTATCGCTCTTTCCCCTTCCTCGTGGCGGATCGAGCCGATATACCGAACATATAGGTGTCTCGTCACCGTATCACCTACCCACCCTACCTACCCTCCGCTAGAGGGTGCTCCTGGATGGCGTTGGTGATTCGGGTGGGCCGAGGAAGCGGATGGTGGCGGCAAGGGGACGACAGGACTGAACGACAGGATAGTCGAAGGGAGCTGGAGGGATCGGTTGGAACGGAGGGCAGGGGGTGCGCGTGCGCCTCGTCGCAAGCGAGCCGGAGCCACTCCCGATCGTCGACGACCGTCCCACACGATCCTTGAAGCGATCCCACCACCGCGTCAGTCTACCGTCGGCATCCGCATAGTCAACAACCCCTGTAGTATCCCGAGCAACCCCGGAAGGTAGCATAAAGTTACGCGCGTCCTTTACGGGTTTTGAGTCATTCTGTAAGTCTTAGGGAGGGAGGGGAGAGGGGATTGAACGGCGAGTCATCAAAGGATCACCATTCGTAGGGTTAAATACGTTGCCCGATACGTGTTTATTGCGTTTCCGCTCGGTGACATCCGCGTGGAATCATCTGTTGAGAATGAGGATGACGAGACGGGAGTCACCTTGCAGCAATGCGACTTTGGAAAGGATTCTCGATTCCTCCTGTTGTCTTCAAAGGATTTTCTCGGGTAAAAAGAATAAACATCTCTCGCAGAGTTCTGTCAATGTTGGTTAGTTTATTGTCACATCGTGTCGTGAAATTGTTTTTTTTTTTTACAAACAGTTCTTTAGACTAAAAAAAAATTGTGTAAGAAATTGAAAAGAGATTACTTATTTTTAATCGTGTTTTTTTTATTGTTACGAATTAAATTTTACTTATTACAATGTTTTCTCTAATGAAATACTATTAGTGAACATACTGCGGTTATTGTTTGAAGTTTAATTGAAGGTACAAAGTGATAGTTTCTTAAAAAATTGAAAACTATTTGTTTTACTGATAATTAGCTGATGAAAGAACAGCTTTCTAACTTTTATCAGAATTATATATATTTTCTCTTATAAAAGTTTTATAAGATTATTGTAGCTTTGAACAGAGAGAAATTTGAAATTCATTTGACTGTAATGCGGCGTTAAGCTCTCAAATTTTTTTTTGAAAATCTTGAGAGCGCAAAAGATTTTTACGCCACCGGGAATCAAGTTTCCGTTAAGTGACATCCACGTAAAATCATCCGCTGAAGGTAATAGGAAACGAGGTCGAGTCACTTTGCTGCAACGCAATCGTGGGGTAGTTGAGTTTTCTTTTATTTAGTTGAGGATTTTAAGGACGAAAGACGGCAGGAAAGTTTCTATGGTCAGGTTTCTGTTAGATGACACCTACGTGGAATCATCCGTTCAGGATGAAACGAAAAGAGTTGGCATTCCCTTACAGTAAGTTGTTATCATGTTTATTGGTTCATCGTTTGTGTCTTGAAGACAAAAAGTAAAATTAAATATATCGCACATAAAAAAAGTCGCCTTTTGAATCATTTTCTATTTTGTAAATTAGTTTTATTATTTTTTTTGTAACGTCATGTTTATTATAAGTTAGAGAAGACTTTCTTTGTTGCTAAACACATGTCGAATCTAAGAGCAAAGATAGAAATTATTCTAAACTGAAAATTAGTTAATTGTAATAAAATATTTTGAAAGTTTACGTCACTGTAATAATAATAATAATAATAATAATAATAATAATAATAATAATAGAAAACGTTGTAAATCAATTTTAATATGCTAAATTACTTTTTATTGGTATTATTGCTACTTATCTAGAAATTTAAAATATAAATTAATAAAGCATCTTTAAATAGAGTTAAACTGTCTTTTAAACGTAAATTTTTATCTTTGCTATTAAATATTATTTTGTCTAGTTAATATTTTTAAATATATTTTTATCACCTCTCTCGGCGATTCGTGTGTATCACGCTAAAATATAAAGCATAAAAAAAATACATCACGAGTTCACATTAATTAAGTTCTTCTTGACCAAGTTTCTACATCGTTGCAACATATTTATTATTCATTCCCACAAACGATATATCGTTGTCTCGTTTGTCTTCGAATGACCCGGCGTTGACGATGGCACCTGTCCGTGTGTCATGCGGGTGCATAACACGTCACGTGGGCACACTGGTTGTCGGTGCGTAGATAGATTGCACGTGACAGCTCGGCTTCCTGACGATCGGCGTTGGGCGAAAAGTGGGGTCATCGTGCTTTAAACCGTGCGCCGTGAAAACGTCGTGACTCGTTTTGTCCTCGGCCAGTCACGATTGCGATCAAATCTACCTACTTCTGAATCGACCGACCGACCGACCGCCACGCCGCAGTCTGACCATCGCGGTAAGTCACTACTTAAGTATCTTTCGCGCCCGATTGAGTCTCGAGGGCTTGAAACTCCGTTTCAAGCAGCGAAATACCGCCTGCGTTATTCGTTTTACGAATTCAAATAGTTAATGATGTCTTCGTTGGTTCTATAGTTATTATAAAAGCTTTGCGTTGAAGTGGCAAGTTTGTTAAATGGATTATATAACTTTGAAGATTCAAACGAGAAACGTTGATGTTGAATCAACGTACTGGATTAAAGACAAATTGTATTACGAATTTGAAAGAAATTTTCTTTATATAAATTTAAAAGCTTTTAATTTACTGTACAAAAAGTAACAGAAATACAGATTTTGTTATGTAATATGGATATATAAATATAATACGGCATTGAAATAAATTTTTGAAATAAATGAGAAATGCTTAAAATTAGCTGGAATTGAAATTAGACTATGTTTATTTCATTATTTTTTATCGACGTGGTCAAGCAACTCGCAAACTGACGTGACATCGAGATTACAAAATGAAAATGTTTTCCATAACGGGCGATTTAATATCATCACGAGCGTCGTCTGTCAAATCCAACACGTTCAATCGACATGCATACCAATCAATATGATATCGGAATTATTTAATGTATCTTCGACAGGTGCCCTTAACAGCATTTATTAGCATTGCGCGTAACTTTTTTAATCGCGAAGCGTAGCGTACTCATAAATCGGTCTGATGATTAAACTTGAATCTCTTTTCGGAATTAGAAAGCCCGCGGCTTAAGCAACTTTATGATCACCCTGAAGATAGGGCAATGTTTGTGATCGAAAGTTTCAATTAGAACTTGGGAACACTTTTAAAAGTTCCTGAAAATCGAGTCCCCTCACAGGATTAGGTGCGTGTCTAGACTCTTCAATAATCGTCACTGCTATGACTCAGAAAAGATACTACTGTGTTATTGATCTCGCTAAGATTTTAGCGCTTTTATATTTTCGAGTAAATATGAAAAAGAAAATGTCAACATACGTTGTTTTATTAAATATGTGTAAATAAACACCTGAAGATATAATTTATAAAATTGATTATATGATGTGATTTTGTAAATGCGTTATCTATACCATTGTGTAAACTGGTAAATTTGTTAATATGTAAAGAACATTCCGGAAATACGGAAATATTAAAATTCGAAATTCACTTTTAAAATTTACTTTGCTGTGATAGTTTATCGATTCTTATTCTCGTTCTTACAAGGCTAGCGTCGATATCCCGACATTCTTTTTCTATCATCCCTCTTTGAATCATATTTACGCGAGCGTTTACAATTGCATTTGCACAGTAATTTTGCATTGGCGGGGAGACAGTCGAGACGATCAAGACGACGATGGCAATGATGACAACGATGTTGTCGTCGACGGAGTCGACCGCAAGGTCGACCAGTCAACTTTCGATTTGACGTATCTTTATTTTTCCGAGACTTCTAATCCCCTTTTGACATGTTCAACAGTCGATAGAAATTTGTTTGTTACATGTTTAATGGTTTGAGCGATGACGAGTGACTTTGAATAAAGAATCGCAGCAATATTCTATGTTAAATGATATTTGTATTACGCACGACGTGATTGTGCAAGGATCGCGATTGTCCATTTGAATCACACTGCAATGAGGTGGAATTACTGCTAGCCATTGTTGCTTTTATTTGATTTTCTTCTTTGCAGTATGATTGATAATATTATGTATATTGATATTATTATGAATAATAACAATTTCTCATCTGCATAAATTCGCAGAGAATATAAAGAGGTAAAATATTAATTGTATCAATATACCACTTTTCTGATAAATAAATATTTAAAAAAATATTTATTTATCAGAAATAAATTTAATAAATTTTATTTCCTCTTTAATATATTTGATAACAAATTTTTTATCGTAATCTTCAAACTTCTTTCTTTTGAATTGAAGAATATCGTCGTTTAAATGTTTAAATGTTACAGCTCTAAAGACAAGGTTTGCTGTGCGTTTGTCTTTCCGAGCTTGAGAACTTCCCGTAGAAGCTGTATTTTATTTTGTCGCGTGTCATTCGACCACTCTGAGCCATTAGCCGCGCCGGGTAGTTTTAACTCGCGGAACGAAGGCAGGTTTACCTTTCCTCTCGACGTACCTGATTGTAAACCCAACTTTCTTGAGTGCTTCCTGAATAGCTGCGGACACCCTCCTTCTTTTTTGCTTCTTCATTAATGAGTCCATCTTATATATCACGGGTTTAGTGTTTCAACTCAAACCAACTGCGACATCCTTTCATTCTATCCCCGATATGTTATAGCTGAATAATACGCAATAATAATAAACATACACAAGATTAATCGTACAATACGGTAAAATATCTCACATATAAGAGGGAGGGATATCGTGTGTCTGCAATGAATATGATAAATCATGTAAATCCAAAAAGATAGAAGTACACAAAGTGTACGAAATTTCAAATTATTTTCAATACACAATATTTTCAAAGAGTGTTATATGGATCTTTATAACATCCGAATTGGTGAAAGAGCGTATATTAATTCGACAAAAATACTTCAATTAAACTCACATAAAGAAAAATATTTTGATTTGAATGATGTAATTGCATATATAATTATTTTACTTTTAATGTATATATATATATATATACATATACATGTGTATGCTATATCTATAATATATATGTATGTATGACAATTGGGCAATTTTTATAAAATGCGCTTCGTTAGATGGAGCGTTAGATGATCAATTTCTTTGCGAATGTCAACAAAAATCCGTAAGTTAAAAACAATAATAGAAGCGTCGATTGTCGTCAGTTGCTGTTTCTCACGTTGGAATATCCGCGATGAGGATCTTTTTGGCGATGGAGATTAAAGAAAATCGATATCCTGGGTATGGAGGGATGGGAAAGTCGCAGGTGTTGCGGTGAGCCAGGTAAGCCTGTACGTAATTTCTGGCAGTGAGGAAAAGGACAGAGCGAGGGGAGAGAGAGAGAGAGAGAGAGAGAGAGAGAGAGAGAGAGAGAGAGAAAAGGGGGCAGATAGCGCAATGTTTATAGGATAGAGTTATGATAAAACGAAAGGAAGTTCGATTTAAAAATCGAAGGCTGGAATAAGCAATCACGATTGCTTTATTTAAAATAATATTCTGTAAATCATATATACTAAATGTTAAAGAGAATTTGCAATTCGTTACTCTTCTTTTATTTGTGATATTACGATAAATATATGAGAAAATATAAGTTATAATATTCTCTCTGGTCTCTGGTGGATTTTTATGATATTGTATCGAAATAGTTGTCGGGGAAAAAAATTTTAATTTCTATACTTTTAATTTCTAACACGTGGATTTTTATTAAACACGAAGGAATGTTACTCAATCACTCGTTTATTTCATCACTGTGTTCAGTTATACACATAGATACGTATCTATATAAATTATTATTAATAAACACATAATCCGCTCGCGACGGTTATGGGGGATAAAGTTTTTCCGATACGAGATATCCTACCTGATTCACTGTGTAATCTGCGAGAATGTTTTCATAATATACAGCGCACTGGTATCTCGCGTAAACTAAATAACGAAATTTGCAATTTATTTATCGGTACTTCGAGCGCGACCGATTGAAGTGCATCAGTGGACGATTCGCGTAAATATATCGCTCGTACGCGATACACTCAATTATATGTCGAGCTTTCATTAGCGATCGCAAACATCGCCGACCGGAAAGCGATTCGTGAAAAAATTACGCGGCAGCCGATTTAAATTTTTCAATAAATGGCATATCGGCGTGTCGAAAGAACTTTCCGTGTCGTCCCGCGCCGCCCGCGCCGTTCGATTGACCGAGCATTAAATAATATCGCGCTTTTCCAGGAGCGCAAAGCTTTATTGCTCAAGCTGCTTCCTGATCCCCGCTGTGAAATTGCTTTACGTCTACTCCAATGGGTTCGCGGGCTTTTGAGATTTTGTTGCTTTATGTTCCGCCACGTAATCGTGGCGTCGCTATCCTTCATTCGTCATCCTGCAGGTGTAGATAAATCATTTTCCGAATGTTAACTGATTAGTAGATATTTCATTATAGGTATAGCTTCGTCACTTCGCGGGAAGAACGTAATTTTCTAGCATAAAGTTTCGCGCGCGCTGCTTATAAATCACACCTCGGCCCGGTGCCAAGTTTCTCCAGCTGTAAGCGTAATAATGTAGTCTCTATTAGTTGTTATGCAATCACATCGTTAACGTGATTGCTTGTCGATATGCCGATGACATGAAATTCATGAAAAAGATGGATCTTGTTGTCGTGATTGCGTGAAACGTAGTAACGTTTGACGCAAACGCTGCACATCTCAAAGCTATAAAGGAGAAAGATATAATTAAAGATAATTAGATCCTGTTTAATTGGCTTCTTTGAAATACGCCGTGATTTTTGTCATAACAAACTGTAGTCGCGTGTCACCGACGCCATAGTCAATATTGCAGCTTTATTAGCAAGTAAGTCTTCATTTAGTGTTGGCTGGATATAATATTATTCATCATCGTTGTGTGCAAACATTCTATATAATATTCGTGCCATTTCATGGCATATTTCGAAAACATTGAAAATTTGTTGCACATACACATATCCTAGACAAGGTAATTTGATGAAAAAATGAATCGCAGAAGAAGCGTTCGTTTGAGCTGAATGTCGAAAATGTATATATACATTAGGTATGCATCACGATTTGTGGCAAATTAATATGGAGGAAGAAAAGATGCAGCGGTTGGCATACATTTACTTAAGCAAAACACATCTATTATACGAGTACTTAGTGTTTTCTTTTTTTTTTTTATTTCTATTTTTCTACAAAGGAAATCGTGTACGATAAACATCCGCATAACGTTTTCCGTTTCGAACTGAACGTAATGCACTGCTGAGAATACGAACGAGGCGCGCGGGAACAATGATATACGCATTTCCTGGGGAAACGATGCCGCACCTTGGTGGATTCATCGATCAATTCGAT